TCGTGTCTTACTCATCATTGATAGTGCTTCTACACATGTTACTAGCACAGTCACTTAAACCAATGTAGAGGTGCTTAAACTACCTTCATATACAATATCAAAAATACAGCCCATGGATGCTGGCATTATTGCAGCATTCAAGCTTCATTATCGTCATATGCAACTTCAACGTGTGATTGATCGTGACGAAGCTGGTAATAGCAATATAGACAAAGTCGACCAATTGCAAGCTATGAGATGGATAAAGATTGCGTGAGAAGAAATATCTGCTAGAACAATCAAGAATTGCTGGTTTCACACAAAAATTATATCCCCCATAATAAAGATAGAACACTAGTTGTCGTAACTCCTCCTGTTGTCTTGCCCTCTCCAGTTGTCTTACCCTCTCCTGTTGGCTCACCCTCACCTGTTGTCTTGCCCTCACCTGTTGTCTCGCTCTCATCTGTTGTCTCACCCTCACCTGTTGCCTCACCCTCACCTGTTGCCTTTGATGAAAATGTAGAAATATTTGTTGATCCGGATTATGAACTGGCTACCAAAGAACTTCAGCAAACACTAGATACATTACATATTCGTAACCCGATGCAAATTGAAGATTTGTTGGATTTTGAGAAAAAAATATGGAGATACATCAACAATTTAGTGATGAAGATTTCATTCAAGCTGCTACAGAAATAGAACACATAGAAAATGAAGTTACTATACAACCTTTAACCGGAAAAGAGCAGTTAGATATTTTGTGCGGGGTTTTGAGAATTGTTGATGAGAAAATTGATAATTGTGGTGTAACTATGAGGTCTTTATGCAAGCTTCAAATGTGCATTCGTGAGGAGGTCCGAAAGGAAGAAGCTGAAAACCAGGTTCAAACTACATTGAACTGATTCTTTCAAATGCTTAAACAGAAATAACCTAATTTTAGGAATAAATCCAAAAATTTTAATTATAACAACTTATCAGGTAAGGTTTTTTTTTTACAGAAAAAAAAATAGTTTATAGGTTATTTTTTAAATTATGCTTTGGATAACTTCGCTGTAATACCATAACAAACAAAAACATTATAAATAAATGCAGTTATTAGTGGGTATAAAGTGCTGATTATATTTTGCTTTGTGTTAAACGTTAAGTACACTGTTGCCTCTCTAAAAATTTAATGTGACGAAATTTTATCTACGATATACATACGTATATATGTACGTACGTAGCACAAAAATTAAATCATGTGGTAAATTTTATGCAATTTGATTGGATATTTTCATGTGACACTATCCGAGCAAATCGGAAACTTAGAT